AAGTAATTATTCAATTGTTTCTCTTTTTGTTAGTAATTTTATATATTCCTGTACAGAATCACCAAGTAACACAGGTAAATCTTCTAATAACGTAATATTCATAGTCCATGGTTGAGAAAGTAATGAGTCAATATCATCACAATCATCATTTTCAATGACCACTTCATCAGAAAATATTAACGATTTACATAAAAGATGAAGACCATTGCGTAATAAATAGAGATTTTAAGAAAATATGCTAAATCCAAAAACAGAAGGTGTTTTTTGTTTAAAATTAAATTAAAAAAAGTGTATTAATTACTCGTATCATTTTTTGCGTTTAAAGCTTTTAGTGAATTTTTCAATATTCTATGTAGAAAAAAAGCCATGTAATGTTACTATTTGTTCATTGTTGGTAATATTTTATCAATTCTGATATGAACTTACAGATGAATGTTAATAAAAGAAAAATACATAACTAGATCGTTTCTCAGTCACGAAAAACGCAAGTTTTTATTACTCGCATAACAATTTATCATAAGTTCACATTTATTCTCTTTTTTTTCATTTGACAGAGAAAATTCTTTACTTATGCATAAAATTGTATACTAATTTAAGCATTGTTGATATCATACTTCTGCACTTGAACAAAGAAATCAAGTGTGTAATGCGATGCTGTTTTTTGCTTTTGAATTCAGAAAGAAAGATTTGTTTCCTCAATAGCTTCACCAACTTTAGCTGAAAAACTTTGAAGGATTCTTCTCATTATCTGCTAATTATATGCAAGCATACATGATTTTCTTTCAAATGCATACAAGCAAAGAATAGCTATCAATAAATGCCTGTTTGTATACAACAGAAGATTTTCTCATGCTCATTGTGACATATGTTTAAATTCTGCGGGTTTTAAATATGAATAAACAAAATTTCAATATGATTTCTATATGAATTGTAGAAAATAATGAAATAATAGCAGTTAACATAACACAAAGAAAACAAAATTTCTTTTTATTATACACATAATACAAACGAATAAAAATCAAAAATTGCTCTACCAAAATTGTGAGTGGTGATGTATTCATTCTTTACATGATAAAACTGAAGTTTTTGGATGTTTCTACTCAGGTGAAAAAAATCATACGCAGATCATACAAGATCTTACTGACATCGGATGTTGTAAAATTCATATTGTATGATCTTATATGATCTTATGGGATCATAATTTAGATTTGTCTTATGTAAATAGTTTTTATAATGAAAGTCTCATGCATTAAATAACACTTTTATTCAGAGTTTCTTCTCGGATAAATATATTAAATAAACTTTCAATGATGGAGAAGAGAGAACTGTTCGATTTAAGCATTGAAAGAAGGAAGTCATAGCCTTGGAAAATTTCTAGTCTTCCACTATCTGTCCAGCTTGAAGGAGCCTACACAAATCCATGCATTTGTTTAAACTAGGCGTACATATTAGGATTTTTTTGTATATGCCGAAGTATTGGAAAATGATTGACATAAATCAACATTTAAATTTCGATTCATTTGAGAAAGATAAATCAGAAAAGAATCTTAGCCAATGATTCTTATTCTTCAATTAAAACTGAACTTAAATTAGTTTTGAATCCGTTGCCCTCATCTATCACTCTATTTGGTGCTGATATTTCCAATGACCTTTAATTAAGAAATACTACCGTTTCATTTCATTTATTTCTTTTTCTCGTAAAAATTTAAAAAAAAAGCAACAACAAACACAAAGCTTAACAACAAGAAAAATGACTTATCATCAGAAAATGATAATTAAAATTGTAGCTTTTATAATAATTTTTTTAAATATATATATTTATCATAAGCTACTCTAATTGCTCATATGTATCAATAGAACATATTTGAAACGAAAATAAATCAACCTGTTAAAAGCACTAAATATAGAGTGTGGAAGAGTGCAAGAAAACCAATTAATAAAAATTAATGCAATTCAAGAAAGTATGTATTAAATTGAAATTATATTTTATTTTATTCTATTTTAGATGATGTCAACGACCAATCCGAAAAACATAAGTATTTATTTAATTTAAATTGTCTATTTAGTTTTATTTTAGATAATATCGACGATTAAACCAAATAAAGTAAACGATTATTTAATTGAAATTGTCTTTTTTCTATTTTAGATGATATCCGCGATTAATATAAAGAAAATAAATATTTACTTAATTTAAATTATCCTTTATTTTGTTTATGTAATATTTACGATCAGACCAAACGAAGTAATTTTTTTTAAATTGTTTCTTTTTATTTTAGATGACATCAACTCTGTAGCCAAATAAAGTGAGTGTTTCTTTAATTTAAATCTTCTATTTCTTTCTATTTTAGATAATATCGACGATTAGATGAAACAAAGTAAATATTTATTTAATAATAAAATATTCATTTCATTTGATGTATTTATTTGCACATAAATGCATCAAATGAAGCCAATAATTAAATTTAACTTTACTTATTTATTTTATTTGATACTCTCAGTGGATTTAGGATAAAACAGTCCCTAAAAATGGAAGCCATATAAAATGAAAGAGAAAAAACGAGCTATATACCTTTTTATGCAACTCTGGAAAATCATACATGGATCTTATAAGATCTAATAGTAAGATCATATAGAATCATACAAGATCATATATGATTTTCATATGATTTTGTATGATCTTGTAAGAATCGTACAAGATCATACAATAGGATTGTTTCACCTGGGTAGATGAGATTTGGATGATAATGGATATATAACTTTTACTTGTTGATTGCTATACCAATATCTAAAGCCTACATTTACTGTGTTCCATGCCTATAAAATTTGTGATAACTACTTCGATCTTCCATAATTTTCAAACTTCAATAACAGTGTATTTGGCAAGTAGAAATCGTTGTTTAACTATTGCCTTAATTAAAATTGAAATTATATTTTTTGTGTTGTTTCGTTCACATTATCAGCATGTCAATCATATGCATAATGAGAAAAAGAAATTACACTGACGCTGTCCTTGCCGTCGTTTTCGTTCTCCTTACAGAGAATGAAACAAAATTATACAACGCATAAAACAAGGTATCTAATGCAATGAAATTGAAGTCACGCTTCATTTGAAACGTTAATGAAAGTTGGAAAAAAATATCATACGATCAGTGATGTTGTGGGTTTTTTCCCTTTAATTTATTTTTGATAAGCATACTTTCAATTACTACTACGCATATTTTTTTATTGAGTGTAAACGAAAAAACAAAATATTCATGTTTTACGTCGGAGAAAAATCTAGAAAAAAAACACAACGTGCATCAAATATATAAATACTAAAGGTAAACTCTGTCCAAACAGCCATTTACTTTTAGCACTACACAGTTACCAATCGCATACGAAACCTTACATCAGAAATGAGTCAACAACCAAGACGACGCATCGTTGAAGATTATTCGGTGATCTGGGTCGATGAAAATATCGACATGGCAAATCAAGATTGCCAAAACATAATGAAACAATTGAAAGCTGTTGTAAATCAAGTGCAACAATGTACAACAGCTGAACAATGCATTCAACAATTGGTTGACAATGACGAGGAGATCTCATTCATTATCTCCTCTAATGCAATTGGACAACACTTGGTACCAGACATCCATGACAAGAAAACATTGAATGCCATTTTTATCTATTGTGACGACGAACAACAACATCAATTATGGACTCAAAATTGGCCAAAAATCAATGGTGTGCATACAACAATGAAATCTATATGTGAAGAGCTCGCAACAGCTATCAAACAGTGCAACCAAGACAATATACCGGTGAGCATTGTCAGCCTTAATGAGGGAGGTTCTAGCAAAGATCTGGATCAGCTAGAACCTTCTTTTATGTATTCACAGATATTCAAGGAAATACTTCTTGAAATAGAACATGACCAAAAAGCCGTTCAAGATTTGGTCAAGTATTGTGAACAAAAATATCATGATAATCCAAAAGAACTCCAAATTATTGACGAATTTCAACAAACTTATCAAGCATCCAATGCCATAGAGTGGTATACAAGAGAATGTTTTACATACAAAATGTTGAATGCTGCATTAAGAACACTCAATGGTGATACTATGATACGAATGGGTTTCTTTTTATGCGATGTGCATCGACAAATCAAAACTATGCACGAGAACCAGGTCAGTGACTATCGTGACAAGATCTTTACAGTCTTTCGTGGACAACGTGTATCGAAAGCTGATTTTGAAAAGCTCGCAAATAATAAAGGCGGGCTAATTTCTTTCAACAACTTTTTATCTACCAGCACCATACGTGATGTCTCACTCAAATTCGTCAAGGAAAACTTACCTACAACCGGCAAGGTCGGTATCCTTTTCATCATTACTATTGATCCTACAGTTTCAACGACTCCATTCGCCTCCATCAAGGAGGTGAGCGAGATGCCAGGTGAAGACGAAATTCTCTTCTCCATGCATACAGTTTTTCGAATTGTTGACATTCGAGAAAACGACAACAACAACTTCATTTATGAAGTTGATCTTCAACTTACGTCAGATGATGACCCACAACTTCGTGAGTTATCCGATTTTATACGCCAAGACGTCAGCGGCACAGGATGGTATCGAATGGGGCAATTGTTACTACAAATAGGTCAATCCGACAAGGCTGAAGAGTTATATCTCACCTTACACGAAGAGACATCCGACGATACGGAAAGAGCACATATCTACCATCAACTCGGATGGGCGAAAATCGACCAAGGACAATACGAAGAAGCAATTACATTTTATAGGAAAGCAATCGAGATCAAAGAACAAAATACCTCCGAAGACGACATCGATCTCAGTGCCACCTACAACAACATTGCTCAGGCGTATAACAACATGGGTGACTACTCGAAAGCACTTGAATTTTACGAAAAAGATCTAGCAATCACAAAAAAAACTCTGCCTTCGAATCATCCCTCATTGGCTACTTCATACGGCAACATCGGTCAAGTGTATAATAACATGGGTGACTACTCGAAAGCACTTGAATTTTACGAAAAATCACTTGAAATACGAAAAAAAGCTCTGCCTTCGAATCATCCCGATTTGGCTACTTCATACATCAACATCGGTGGAGTGTACAGCAACATGGGTGACTACTCGAAAGCACGTGAATTTTACGAAAAATCACATCAAATCTTCGAAAAAACTCTGCCTTCGAATCATCCCTCATTGGCTACTTCATACGGCAACATCGGTCAAGTGTATAATAACATGGGTGACTACTCGAAAGCACTTGAATTTTACGAAAAAGATCTAGAAATCACAAAAAAAGCGATGCCTTCGAATCATCCTGATTTGGCTGTTAGCCACTTGAATTTTGCAGCATGTTACGAAAAAATGGGTGATTACACAACAGCTCTTAAAGCCCTTAAAAATGCTTATCAAATTCAGCAAAAAGCTTTTGAAGAAGGTAATCCAGCTTTTGCTTCAACATACAGTAGGTTTGGAAGAGTTTATCGCAATATGAAAGATTATTCAAAGTCACTTGATTACTTTCAAAAATGCCTCGCAATATTTCAACGAACATTACCAGAAAGACATCCCAATCTAGCTATCACATACAGTAATATTGGTGATGTTCATCGATTAATGGGTGATTATGAGAAGGCAATTTCATTTCATCAAAAAGCATTAAATATTCAAGAAAATGTTCAATGTAATCCTCTCGAATGTGCAACGACATATATAAATTTAGGTGAAACATATCGTCAAATGAAAGATTATACAACGGCATTGACATATTATCAAAAAGGATTAGAAATACGTGAAAATAAACTACCAAAAAGTCATCCTGATTTAGCTGTAGTATATCACAATTTGGCAAAATTATATTTATCTACTCGACAATATAATATGGCAATGAAAAATGTTCAACAAGCCGTAGAAATTGCTCAAGAAAAATTACCTTCAAATCATCCTCATATATTGGAATATAAAGAAACATTTGAAAAAATTCGAAAGAAAATGTAATTTGTTGGTTTGTTTTCGATTTGCTGAATAAATTGATTTGCATTACAATTGATTCTCACGTACGCGCAGAGCGGACCACGCCGGACTGGTAGGGCATGATCATAGGTGTGACGTACGTAAACGGCGACAGGGACCTACGAACAGGCGGCCTTCCCGAGTACTCCACTGCTTTCTCCAACATAGGCACAAGAAATCTTCCTGGGTCAGATTACGAAACCATCTGACGGGCTGTGATATGAAATAGTATCTATCTCCCTCTCTACATAATAACACAAGTATGAAAGAAAAAAATAACTTGAAAAGTTCTAGTGGCCAATAGAACTTTTCAACTTATTTATAAATTTTTTATCCCAATACGAAAAAAAAAAGAAACAACATACCCTATTTAAGATTGGAATATATATATGTATAAATATCATAATTATGTACATAATTGTATCTTGCACCTCCTGAAAAAAAAAAGATTTATGAGAATACTTATTCAATCTATTGTTGATACAATAGATCGATTGAATTGAATGATTTTATACAAGAAAATCATTCCTTATATAGGATATTTGAAAAACATGAACTATCATTCAATGATAATGATTAATAGATAATCATCGACGATCAATTTATCGTCAGTCGACGATGAATATGTACTTATTCTATTTACATTACATTCACAGCCGTAACTCAGTGACTAAAAAAAAAAAAAAAAAAGAAAACAAAAACAATTCATTTCAATGGTTATTGTTTGAATTTCCATGTAGGAAATTTCATTCTTTACTTTGACATCATTTTCATTGCATT